CCCTCCCTCAGGGCTGCTGGTGGGGGTCCAGCTCCCCGATGACCTGGGGACACATTAGTCAGTGATAAGTGGGGCTTTCCAGCCCCTTTTATCCTGTTTACAATACACTGGCTCTCCTCGGACCAAACTCTGCTCCCCCGACCTTGCTCCTGGCTGTTATGGCTACAGGAGACAATTTGCTGATGGACTCTCTGTGGAGGGCAGCTTCCCTGGAGACCTCTCCCCACCTCCCACGGCACCCGGGGCAACATCTCCTCCACCTGGTGGGTCCTGGAAGGGGCCCCAGATGCTTGTTGTGCTCAGCTCATTGCAGCCTCTGAATTCAGAAATGTCATCCTTTCTGTCTGCTCAGCTTTAATCGAAGGGGTTAGGGAGAAAACCCGGAGGCGGTGAGATTATGTTTCTCTGGCTTTGGGGGCGGGGGTGACTAGGGTTTTGTTGCTGTCCAAAGCAGAAGCCATCAGAGGTGTTTTATTTATCTGTGCAAGGCCCTCGGAGTCAAAAAGGCAGGATGACAGAGCAGCTACCTGGAGGGCGGTGTGTGACTGCAGCCTGGACCTAGTTCCCCTCACCCACAGTCAGCTTAGGCAAGCAAGTTAATCTCTGAAGCTCAGGATGCTTGTCTAGAAAACCAGGATGGTGATGCCTGTCCTGCCTCTGACCGGGTGGTTATGAGCACAGAATGAGAAACTGTTGTGAAATCGCTTAAAGAGGAGACATTTTGTTTAGCACTCTGCACTGATTTCAAGTGACAAGCCTTTCAACAAGAATGGCTCTTCTGATGCAGGCAGTTTATAATTGCCTAAAAATCAACTTTCAAATAATTCTGAGCTTCTGAAATGGCAGGCAGGTGGAATACTTAGGAGAGTGAGTTGATTAAATGGAGTTCATTTCAAGGCAACAAGATATTTAACAAGCACCTACCTTATAACAGTCACTGAGCTGGATGCTAGGAAGATACAGGGATGAAAGACACACCTCCTGCCCTTGGGCTGGTGGACAGAGAATTGGGATACTTGCGATAAGTGCTAAGAAGGGGCACCAGGTGCCAGAGGAGCACAGGAGAGGAGCTCAGATCCAGCCTCGGTGTCAGAGGCCCTCCCCAAGGGAGGTGAAACCAGAGCTGAGACTTGAATGAGTTCATCAGGCTTGAGGCAGAGGGAAGGGTGTTTGAAGCACAGGGAACAGTGCATGCAAAGGCCAGAGGACAAAAAGGCCCTTGAGAGAAGAACTCCAATTACTCTAGTTAGGATGGGGGAAGTGGGACATATTCACAGCTGGCACCAATTGTGCAAGGTGCTGCACGAGCATTGACACAGGTGGGATAGACGATAGGGGGAGGGGGGCTTAGGAGGCAACGGAATCAGAATGTGCACCGGGAGGGCGGTAGACACCAGAGCAGGGGCAGTATAGGGAGCAGTGATGGTTTGGTAGAAGGGATAACACAATTGTTCTATTCCATCTGATTGAGTTGACCAGAGAGACACAACAGATTAATGGCTTCAGAGAGAAGAATTAAGTCCCTCAAATTGGACACATCAAAAATACTCTTCAGGGACTTCCCTGGTGGTGCAGTGGTTGAGAGTCTACCTGCCAACGTGGGGGACATGGGTTTGAGCCCTGGTCCGGGAGGATCCCACATGCCGCAGAGTGGCTGGGCCCATGTGCCACGGCTACTGAGCCTGTGCTCTGGAGCCCGCGAGCCACAGCTGCTGAGCCCACGTGCCACGGCTGCTGAAGCCTGCGTGCCTGGAGGCTGTGCTCCGCAGCAGGAGAGGCCAACGCAATGAGAGGCCCATGCACCGCAGCGAGGAGTAGCCCCCTCTCGCCACAACTAGAGAAAGCCTGTGTGCAGCAGCAAAGACCCAACACAGCCAAAAATAAAAATAAATAAATTTAATAAAATGCTCTTCAGAGTATTGAAGTTTATCATACCACAAAGGGAAGAAACAGGCGGAATATGGATTAGTTTACCAAATCCTGGAACAGTAGAACTTTGGGACACCTCTTAAAGTTCAGATAAAAGGAGAGGGCATAAAGTCATCATATTGATTTTCCTGAAATCAGTGGAAACTTGATTCCATTACCCAAGGCTCAAAGCCCTCCAGATGTTCCACAAGGTGGAGGCAAACCATCTTTCCTGTTTGTGTATATTCCTCTATTGCAGAAACCCTCTGCTCTAGCCAAGAGGAACCACACAGACTGCCTGGGACTACCTACAGCTTCTGAAAATTTCTCTCTCTGCTTGCCAAGAACTCCCTGTGCCTGCATCTCCATACATCTTAATCCTTGTACTTCAAGGTTTAGCTGAAATCTCATCTCTTCTGGAAAGCCTTCCTTCATCACCAAATTGAAAGGGATCTCTTCCTTCCCTACGTTATGACGGAAACTAATTGTCTTTACTACTCATTACACATTCATACATTGTCTTGCACTGTTACCTTTTCATAATCCCTGTACCCTGTCTAACTAGCTGATAAGCTTCTTGAGGTCGGGTATCTATTGCTGCTAAATGAACTACCCCAAAATTTAGTGGCTTAAAATATCACCCACTTTACTGTATCTCTTGATTTCCTGGACAGGAATTCAGGCACAGGCTCAGTTGGGCAATTCTTTTGTTCCATGTGGAGTCTACAGAGGTCACTTGGTGGGAGTCAGCTGACGGATAGACTAGTATCGAGGGTGCAAGATGGCTTCACTTACAAGTCTGGTGCCTTGGCTGGAAGAGTGGGCTCAGCTAGGCATGTTGACTAGAACACATATAGACATGGCCTTTCCAGCATGATGGCTTCAAGGTAGTCAAACTTCTTCCAAGGTGACTCAGGATCACCAGAGTGAGTGCTCCTTTAGAGGGCTGAGTAGAAGCTGCAAGGCTTCTTATGACTTGGCCTTGGAAATCCTAGAATTTCACTCTTGCTACATTCTGTTGCTCAAGCAAGTCACTAAGTCCAGCTCAGATTAAAAAAGAATGGAATTAGACTCCACCTTTTAATCGGAAGAGTAGCAAAAGAATACGAAACCATCTTTATTCTACCACACAAGATTGACCTAAGACCTAGGCAAGCCAAGTCCCTGGCTCAGGTCCCGGGCCTCAGGGTGTCCCACGCTTTGGAGTGCTATTTTAAATTTTTTCTAAGTCCTCCTTAAGTGGCTGGGATCATTCTAGTCTGTTTCTCTAGAGCTGTGTCTTACTTCTATTCCTCCCCCCCCCCAGTATCTGTGCCTGGTAATAGCAGGTACTCATTAATAAATATTAGAATAAGTGCAAAAATAATGTTAGGGAAAGAAGGTACATGGGTGGACAGTCCCTTGGGGCACAAAACTGGGTGGGATCCAGGATACAGGAAAATAGAAGCATCAACTTGTCAAAGGAAGAGGAACATCTCCTCCCTTGGGAGGAATGGTAGATAAGCCTGGGAGGATGGAAACGGATTAGGTCTACGTGGAGAGGCAAGTGTCCAAATCCTTCAAGTCCTAACTCAAATGCCACCTCCTACATTGCCTTTCCTGAATCTCTCACTGGAGCCGATTCCAGCTCGCTCAACCTCTTCAGACTTTCTACCTTGTAGATGTTTATTTGTACACACATCTTATTTCCTTTCCTATACCAAGACCTCTTTGAGGGCAAGAAGAACCGGTTTCCTCCACAGAACATGTGATACATGGTAACGACTCATTCACTCTGGGTTTATTAGATGGATAAATGGGGTGGGGGATAAGACAGTAGATGCTTGCACCACACACTCCAGCGAAGAGTGAAATCTTCAGACCCACAACAAACAGTTTGAAGCGAAGCCAAGCAGGAATCTTCCCACACTTCCTCCTGCAAAGATGAACTGCTTGTCCTCTGGTCTCCAAACTTGCTCTGACGACCCCACGTCGGTACCTTGCGACTGCCCTTACCAATGCCTGACTCAATGCTGGAGACAGCCTCCGGCCAAAACCTATGCTTCCTCGTCCCCCATCTGAGACAGAACCTCTGACTACACTTAGCCTTCTTCTCCAGGCCCCTTTACTCGTTTTCCTTCTCCTTTCTCGCAGTCACCACCAGTAGGGCGCGCGTTGGGGCAGCCCTAGCCGGCAGGGAAGGGAGGGTCCTGAGACCGGAAGCCGGAAGCCGGAAGTGGGGCTGTGAGTACGTGTTCTGTGGAAGCCAGCGCGGGACCCGGCGGGGCCGGCAACATGGAGACGCTGTACCAGCAAACGCACAAGTGAGGGACGAGTCGGGCACGGGCTGGGGCAAAGCCAGGCTGAGCGAGGCCTGCCCCCTGGCTGGGGCCTCGGGCGTCCGCCGGTATGGAGGCCGAGTCCTTCCGCCCGGGCGCTGCAGTGGGGAGCAGCTCGGAAGTGCTCAGTCTTTGGCGGGATGCCCAGGTAGCGGAGGCCTGAGGGTCCGACCTGGTGCCCGAGGACGTTGGGCCGAATGCCTCCGGGGATCTTGGAGGCCGTGACTGCCCGCTGGGTAGACTAGGTGAAGGGGAAGTCGCACTTTGTCCAGCACCTGCCAACTCTGTGGTCCGATTTGGTAGAGCTGGTGCGGACTCAGGGCCCCGGCACAGAGGAGTTTACTAGTTGGACAGGCAGGACGTGTACGAAAAAAGGTCTAATGTGTGGCACAGTGAGGTGGAAGGTAAATGAGCAGTACCAACAGGATCTCCTTAAGTAATCTAGAAGGATCCATCACTGGGATAAGGTCGTCAGAAAAAGTTTAATTAATAGCTCACAGCTCCTAAATGATGTCAGTCCCTACTCTTTATTGACTCAAAACTTGTTGTTTCTACACTGTGATTTTCTTTTATTCTGATTTTGGTTTATACTAAAGACCGTATTTTTATAATACAAAGAAATTGCTCAGATAGCATTCAGTATTATACGGTACTTGTTATTCATATCTGGTTACAGGTTACCTTTAAGGAAATTGAATTTTGGTTTAGCTTCTCATAACTTAAATTCCTTGGTAGTGTCCTTTATTCATATTGTCCTGCATTTTTGGAACTTGCTGAAATGTGTAATTGAATATGGAAATAAGATCATACCTATCGTATTTGGGGGGATGATTTATCTTTCATTGTGGTCAGACATGCATTAACGAAAAAATTTACCATTTTAAAGTTAACCATTTAATTTTTAATTGTTACCAGTATCATTTAGTTTGCCATTTAAAATTATAATCATTTCTTTTTTTATATTTTATTTATTTATGTATGTATGTATGGCTGCATTGGGTCCTCGTTGCTGCACACGGGCTTTCTCTAGTTGTGAGTGGGGGCTACTCGGAGCTACTCTTCGTTGTGGTGTGCGGGCTTCTCCTTGCGGTGGCTTCTTTTTGTTGCAGAGCTCGGGCTTTAGGCGTGCGGGCTTCAGTAGTTGTGGCACACGGGCTCAGTAGTTCTGACTCGGGGGCTCTAGAGCACAGGCTCAGTAGTTGTGGCACATGGGCTTAGCTGTTCCACAGCATGTGGGATCTTCCCCAACTAAAGCTCAAACCCGTGTCCCCTGCATTGGCAGGTGGATTCTTAACCACTGCCCCACCAGGGAAGTCCCTATAATCATTTCTAAGTGTACAGTTCAGTGACATCAAGTAATTCACAGTGTCGTGTAACCATCAACATGATCCATTTCAAGAACTTTTTCATTATCCCAATCAGAAACTCATGTACCCATTAAGCAGTGCCTCCCCATTCTTCCCCAAGCCCCTGGTAACCTGTTCTGCTTTCTGTTTCTGAATTTGCCAATTCTATATATCTCATATAAGTTGAATAATATAATATTTGGCTTATTTCACTTAGCATAATGTTTCCAAGGTTCATGTATGTCATAGCGTGTATCAGAACATCGTTCCTTGTTATGGCTCAATAATATTCTTTTGTGGATACACACACGCACACACACACCACGTTTCGTTATCCATTCATCTATTGATGGATACTTGGGTTGTTTCCACCTTCTGGCTGTTGTGAATAATACTGCTGAGAACATTGGTGTACAAATATCTGTTTGAGTCTCTGTTTTCAATTTTTTTGGAGTGTATGCCTATACCTATCCTATTCTAACAACTTTCAAATATATGCTGTAGTTTTGTGCTGATGAAAACACTTAAAATCACATCTCCAGGGCCTGGGAAAGAAAGAAAATGGGGACCCACCTCTCTAATGAATTCACAACAAAAGCAATACTTTGGAGCATTAGAATAAGAGGAAGATGATCCAGTTATTGTTTCATTTTCTAAGTTTATGTTTCATTAAGTTCCTGTTTCATTTTCTACTTTTCTTTCTTTTTACTTTATTAAGTGTTTGGTTTGGGTGGGTGAAAATGTACAGCCTACTTTGTAATAGTATTGAAATGACAGAATTGGTCTTACACTGGGGAGCCCTATTCTCATATAATAATTATAGGAAGGAACTTTAAAAACTAGATCTGTGAGTCAGTTGGAAAAGGAATGAAACAGGAAATTATGCTCATCTTACTAAGAAAGGGCAGATCTTTTACAATAATAAGGCTCAATGGACTGAGTAGTGCTTTGAAGTTGATCTGTGATGTACAGTCTCATCTGGTTAGTTAATTTGGTTAAAGGATGTTGCTAAGGAGGCCGCGACCCAGTTTATTTTTAATAATAATTTTGTTCACAGAGTCTCAGACTACCTGTTATCATTGCAGCAGGTAGCTGATCACATAGTAGACTAGGAAGCTCAATACTCTAAGGAGTATTACTCTAAGGAGACCCTTAGAGTCTATAGCAGAGCTTGCCAACTTTTTCTGTCAAGAGCCAGATAGTAAATATTTTAGGCCTTACAGGCCGTACGGTCTCTGTAGCAGCTGTTCAACTCTGCTATTATGGTGGGCAAGCAGCTGTGAGACAATATGTAAACAAATGGATGTGACTGTATTCCAATAAAAGACAAGGGGCAAGATCTGGCCAACCACTGCTAGGCCTTCTACTATGCAGTCGTTCATTCATTCATTTATTTAGCACCTGCTTTGTGTCGGGCACCATTCCCAGTGCTAACTGTACAGCCCTGCCCTTAGGGAGTTTACCTTGTTCACGCTGCAGTATATTCTGATCTGCCTCCTTTCCCCTCAGGGACTGAACCAGGACTGGGGATTCTGGTTCTAGACCTCTTCACCTTGTTTTCCTCACCTGTGAAATGAAGGTTTTGGGCTGATTAAACTGTAAGGCTCCTTTCAGCTCCATAATACTGGTGATTGAGTGTCTTTAAAAGGAAACACACAGAATCCTGTGCGCATCAGCAGTTAATTTTTGCAGTTGCAGAAATTAGTGATTGCAGCTGAATTGACACAACAGTAACTGAAAGTATTAATTTTACTGGAACTTTGAACCCAATTTGTAGTTATCTCTTGCCACGTCCCTGAAAGTACATTGAAATTAGATCAACATTTTAAAGTGTGTATCTTCGAAGACGCCTGAACTACCTGAACAATGAATGAAAAGAAAAAAGATGAAAAACAGGTTAAACATTTTGCACTTAAATAATACTGTGTTAGGATGAACTTTATAGAGGAGCTAATAGCCAGGCTTCTATTTTTGAGATACCAGTGCTTGGAAAGGTGCCCATATTTGTCCAGGATCATTCAGTGCCCTGGACCTTATTATCACTAGAGATTCTGATTCAATAGGTTTGGAGCACAAGAAGCTCTATTTTTAACAAGCTCTCCAGGTGATTTTGATGAACAGCTGGGTTTAAAGACTGCTACCTTATCTCAAAACCAGCTTTTCCTTTTTTTGATTTTCCCTTCTGATGAGAGGCTAAATATAGTAGAGGCAAAGTGGGTGAGTGAAAATGCCCAGATGGTTCCCACTACTTTTAAGCAAAGCTGAGTAAAAACAACAAACTTCTGTATGGTGCTGTATGGGTTACACAGCATTTCCATATTGCATTTGGATCTATGCTTTAAATAATTATGATTATCAGTACCCTGTTTTACAGTTGAGAACACCGAGGCACCAAGGAATTAAATGACTTGTTCAGTGTCCCTCAGCTACTGCACAGTGGCATTAGAACGTCAACTCAGATCTTTTAACTCCAAAACCCTGTTTCCTGCTCAAGTTGGTCAGAGGCAGCATGGGTGCAAAGTGGGTGTATATGATGGGGGTGGGGTAGTTCCATGGACTTTATTCTGTTTTAAAATTCTTCCTAGATCTTCTACAGACTTTTTTTTTTTAATCAGCAACAGTGACCCTTGTTTATTTGCTACTAGGTCTCTGCTTGGTTATGTTTTCACCCAAGCCCACCGTGGACCCCATGCTAGGCAGGGCTAGGACTTCTGATTTCTAGTGTCCACACTCCCAAGTCACGCTTGTGTAGCAGCTGTTCCGTATTGGCTTCAAATGTGTGTCCGAATTCCCAGTTCAGTATAAAACAGATCTGCCACTCGGCACAGCAGTTCCCACCATGCCATTCATGCTTGCTTTGTTGTTTTGCATTTATTTCCTCTCGGGCATGACATGTAGAGATTGTATCGCTTTATTGGCTCTAACTTTTTCAGTTCATTCAAAGCAAATAGAGATTGGATGGAAAAAGTCAGTAACGTTTCCCTGCAATTTAAAGTTTATCCATTGTAGCTTAGAAAACAGTAAAAGCCAGCTGAAGAGTGGTTATAGGGTTTTGTGGGTATGGGCATCATCTCTCCTGCTGTCATCGTAGAATTTCAGAATTGAAAGTGACTGGCAGGATCTTCCATTCCAACTCACTTTGGTCGGGAAGACCCTTTATAAAACTCAAGGTAGTTCATGTACTCTGTGTTTAAACATGCCAGAGCTCTTTTTTTTTCCCCTCTTCTTGAAGAGAGAGTTTGTAATTGTTCTCATTTTTCCCGGGGTTGAGCTGAAATCTGTCATCTTGAAATTTGTACCTTTTGGTTCTGGGTCTCCCTTAAGAAGCAGCAACGGAGAACAAGCCCACTCCTCTTTCTGTATGTCATCTCCAGATGCATGAAGAGCCCCAGCTGCCCCATTTTAGTTTAGTTTTTTCTTTTCTTTTCTCAGAGGATCGTTAACACTAGCTCTTCTGACCATTATTCCTCCTCATAACTTGACTTCTGAACTCTTTTCCAGCCGTCCTGTTCATCTTCCATTGGCAGAAACCTTTCATTGGTAGGGTTCCTTTAGCAGATGGCTCCCAAAGTTGAATGCCAGTCTGTATTGTGCATTTGACTTGTTTTTTTAACCTCAAGTAAAAATGTGTGGTTTTTTTCCTTTAACATCTTTATTGGAGTATAATTGCTTTACAGTGGTGTGTTAGTTTCTGCTTTATAACAAAGTGAATCAGCTGTACATATACATATATCCCCATATCTCCTCCCTCTTGCATCTCCCTCCCACCCTCCAATCCCACCCCTCTAGGTGGTCACAAAGCACCAAGCTGATCTCCCTGTGCTATGTGGCTGCTTCCCACTAGCTGTCTGTTTTACACAAAATGTGTTTTATCCCTGACAAATAAATCTTACTACTTTAGCCTAAATGAAAAATGTTAATATTTGTTTTGTGGTACAATATCCTAAGCATTCACTAGAGCACAGAATCATGTGCAAATTTCATAATCAAACGTTGATTTTTAAAAATTAATTAATTTATTTATTTTTGGCTGTGTTGGCTCTTTGTTTCTGTGCGAAGGCTTTCTCTAGTTGCGGCGTGCGGGGGCCACTCTTCATCGTGGTGCACGGGCCTCTCACTGTCATGGCCTCTCACTGTCATGGCCTCTCTTGTTGCGGAGCACAGGCTCCAGATGCGCAGGCTCAGTAGCTGTGGCTCACGGGCCCACCTGCTCCGCAGCATGTGGGATCCTCCCAGACCAGGGCCCGAACCCGTGTCCCCTGCATTGGCAGGCAGACTCTCAACCACTGCGCCACCAGGGAAGCCCTCAAACGTTGATTTTTTAAAAACACTGAGCAAAACACAGAGCCAAAGGCAGTCCTTTGGTGGAACCTGGAAGTCTTCCCAGGATCCCTTGGGGACCATGGTTTTGCCTGCTATGAGTCCCTCATCCTTAAAGTTTAAAATATTTGTCAATCTAATGGGAGAAATATGATGTCATTGTTTATTATTTTTTAAAATAAATTTATTTATTTTGTTTATTTTTGATGGCGTTGGGTCTGTGTTGCTGCGCGTGGGCTTTTCTCTAGTTGCACGAGAGCTACTCTTCGTTGCGGTGCACGGGTTTCTCATTGTAGTGGCTTCTCTTGTTGCAGAGCCTGGGCTTCAGTAGTTGTGGCACACGGGCTTAGTTGCTCTGTGGCATGTGGGATCTTCCTGGACCAGGGCTCGAACCCATGTCCCCTGCATTGACAGGCGGATTCTTAACCACTGCACCACCATGATGTCATTGTTTTTAATTTGCATTTTCCTGATTACTAGAAGAGAGTCTCTTTATATATTTATTGGCCATTTGGGTTTCCTTTTCTGTCAGTTGCCCTTTGCCCATTTTAAAAATTGCTTTGTTTGACTTTTCCTATTGATTTGTAGCAGTTCCTTATACATCCTGAATACTATTCCCTTGTTACCTGCTGCAGGTATCTTCCAGTCTCTGCCTGTCTTTTTTTTGTAAATTGTGCCTTTGGTGTAAAAAGGCTTTTGTTTTAATGTAGCCAGATCTATCAGTCTTTTCTTTTGTGGTTTGTGGGGGTTTGGAGGTAGTTTTGGTTTTTGTCTTGTTTAAGAAATCCTTCTTTAACCTGAAGTCATAATATGCACGCCTATATTTTCTTCGGGAAGTTCTAAAGCCTCACTTTTTACATTTAGGCTTTAAACCATCTTGAGTTTATCTTTGTGTACTATTACATGAGGTGTCTTTTTTCCACATGGATAACGAGCTGAGCCATCAGCACTTATTGTAGTCCATTCTTTTCCCACTGCCATTAGAAATTTACCTCACTGCCCACATCCAGGCCTTCAGGGAAGTCCTAGTTCTCTTTTCCATCTCAGCATTGCCATCCAGTCCTCTCTGGCTGTTTTCACGGTTGCCCTGATCCATATGTTGGTTTCTTCAAGCTGTCTTTCTACATCTGCCTCCATTTCTCCACGTGCCTCCATTCTGAAGCATCCAGACTTGCCTTCCTGAAGTAGCAGGTTCTAGGAGTGATTTCCTGGTGCCTCTCAGGACCATGGGTCTTGCCCAGGAGCGCTCTGAGAGTCGTTAGATAGCTGCTCTTGCTTCTGGGGCCATGGGTCATGTTTAGAGGCCACAGGGACACCCTGGAAAAGACTAGAGGCAAGTTCAAAGGAAATTTGGGCTCCTGGCTCGCATTGGTAAATTTGGGGTCACAGTTGTGGTGCTCACGGTGGAGGATGGTTGCTGACCTTTCCCTCAAGGGTTGGTGATGATGGAAGAGCTCACAGGTCCCTCTCATGTGGCTCTCACGTGGAGAGACCAGAGGCACCAGGAGGCGGTTGTTGGAGTAGGATAAACAGTATCCCCAGGACTGATCACAGAGACGGCTCGGAAGGGCTCAGCGGGTAGGGGACCTTGCCCAATCCCCGGGGAGCCTCCAAAAGCTGCTCTGGGGCCTGATGTCCGGGACCATGCCAGAGGTTCTGGGTACAGTGTTGGCGTTGCCAAGTGAGATGACAGTCGCCTCGTATTGCCAGGGAAAGATGTTGACCAAACAGGAGATCTGTATCTCAGGGCCTTCCTCTGATGGTTTCCTCCAGCTAATCACCTCATCCCCTTCTCCTCTCTGACCCCAGCCCTCAGGCAGGCCAGCCTGCTGGTAACCCACGTGATGTGCCTTGCAGGCCTTTTTGCATGTCATTTTCTCCACATCTTCCTTCACCAAATCACGTCTGTCTTCTTCAAAATGATGTTGAGAACTCCCTTCACCCACAAAGCTTTCCCCAGCTCACTCTTCTGTTCATTGCCTTTGCTTAGCACTGCTGTGCGCGTAGCTCCTCAGCTTTCTTTTTGCTTACGCTTCTATGTGTTAGTGTTCTCTTAAATCTTCTTGGGACTTTACATGTCTATCTGGCTTGTCCTTCCTAATTACACTGTTTCTCAAGGACAAGGATTATATCTCTCTTGCCCTTTGACTCTCCCTAGTACAGACCAGTGCTCAGCACATTGGGTCAAAGAACAGAGAGGGGGATTGGCTGGGTCCAGATCGAGGTTTATCACTTGGTGTGTGACCTTGAACAAGTTACATAACCTTTCTGGGCTTCGGTTGTCTTATTTACAAAATGAGGATGATAATAGTACTTTCCTCATAGGGTTATTGACTTTGCAGAATGTCTCAGATGCGGTAAGCACTCACTAAATGCTGCCTGTCAGTATTATTATTAATATTAATGTTAAAATATTAGAAACCGTGCCAAAACATGTGACCTGAAGTGCCACATACAAATTTTACAGTTCAGCGATACTGTCAATTTAAATCAGTTAGATGTTGGCATTAGAAAATTTGTCTTTCCTGACCGAAGCGCTGTTGATTACTCCTGTCTCACTCATTTCCTCCCTCTTCCTTTGATAGGCAGGTCCACGAGATCCAGTCTCACATGGGACGCCTGGAGACAGCCGACAAGCAGTCTCTGCACTGTGAGTAATTAACTATGGAGACCAGAGTCCTTTCTCTGATGACACGGTGCTAATGGGCTGGGTTTCCTGACTGCGTTTCTGCCTCAGGGGCTTAATGATTCAGTGTGGAATGAGTTCTGTTGTTAGGGTGGACAGAAAAACCCTATGGCAAAGTCACTGACTTCCCTGATTGTGCCCTTTGGAATCCCACAAGTCTTATCCCCCATTACCCCTCCACTCAACCTGACATGGCCCTTTGGGAATGGAAGTCCTTTCCTCCATCTGTCTTAATCTCATTACCTAGTCTGTAGAGGAATGTGGTCCATAAAAATTCAGAGATGTTTAACTGGAATTGGCCATTTCTTCTGAGCTGAAAACTGTGGCTTTTTAGGCGGATTATTCAGAAACGATGAGCAGTATTAATTGGTTTAGTTCCCACACCGTGATTTCCTTTTAGAAGAGTGCTGCTTTCTGTGTTTTCGTTTCTTCTCTGTTGTAAGAAAAGGTCGTTTTTCTGAGTCGGTCACACAGGCATTGCTGATCCCCCACCCACTGCAGATGCAGTCCCCTCCTCTCACTCCTCGGCTGGCGCCGTGCCCATTTCTCCTGTTTTCTCACGCCCGCTTTCTGCAGCTCCAAAAGCACCTCGTCTCTTGGTCCTGTGCCCCACCTTGTTAGCTGTGGGCTACCCTAGGAAGGTGACATTTCTGTCTCTACTATCGTTTCTTTTTCGGGCAAGAGGCAATCTGGATGCCTTTTTGTGCGCACAGTTTAGCTGCTTCTGTCCATTGACTTTGTTTGCCTTCCCAGCAATCTCGTTGGTATATGATTAGAAATGGAAAAGTGGTCATTTTGACTGTTTATCGAAAGGGATAAGGTAAATGACTGTATTTATCATATCATTACCTCTGTGGATTCTTTCCTGTTGATATTCGGTCTATTCTGGGGACTCCAACATCAGTCTGCCCATTCTTAAGAGAACTCTTCTCTATGTTTCACATACTAAATCTTTCCCTTTGCGCTTTTTTTTTTTAAACCTCATTATGTTCTGTGGGGAGTTCAGTTGGCAGTCTTTCTACGAGATATTTATAACCCATATCTGAAAATGATCTCAAATGAAAAGAGGCCTCACTTTGTATCAGAAAATATTACATTTTGCTTAAAATATTTATTTGGACAATCTTTAAATGTTCATTTAATTTTCTAAAGGCAGGAAATTTATTTCTACAGATGTATCTTCAGCTTTTTAAAAAATTGGCATTGTTATGGCATTAACAACTATATATATATATATTTTTTTGGAAACAACGTTTACAGTCACTTACTATAATTTGAATTTTTTCCCCATCATTATTAGTGTATGCATTTTTCTCCTTTTGAAATACATATTTTTGAGTTTATTTGATATAGAGAAAAGATGTTTGATTTATTCCAATTTAAGTTCACTATTATTATTATTATTCCAGCAATTATTCTTTGACTTTGTTTGCCTTCCCAGCGATCTCATTGGTATATGATTAGAAATGGAAAAGAGGTCATTTTGACTGTTTATCGAAAGGGATAAGGTAAATGACTGTATTTATTATTTTTCCAGTAATTATTCTTTTTTCTCTTTTGTGCAGTAGTAGAAAACGAAATCCAAGCAAGCATAGACCAGATATTCAGCCATCTAGAGCGTCTGGAGATCTTGTCCAGCAAGGAGCCTCCTAACAAAAGACAGAATGCCAAACTGTGAGTACTCTGACACCCCAGGCCTATCACGGCAGGCCTTTCTCCCAGGGGAGGCCATCACATATTCTGAAAATCCCATTTATACATTGAAAAACTGAGACTATGAAAAGATAAAGTCCCATAAAGAGCACAATTCTGTTTGAGTGATACCCCCTCGGAATAAAAAGCCTGTGTTGTATAACACGGGGAATAGAGCCAATGTTTTATGATAACTGTGAATGGAGTATAACCTTTAAAACTTGTGAATCACCATATTGTATACCTGTAACTTACATCATACTGTATATCAACTATACTTCAATTTAAAAAAAAAAAGGAATAAAAAGCCTGTCAGGTTAGTGGCTCAGAAGCCTCATGTCTCCTTTTCTCATTGGTGTCATTCAGAAATTTTACCCCCAGTACTGTTTTTCTGACCAGACCCATGGCCACTCGAAACCTAATGCTACCAGGGAGTTTCAGTCTGCTCTTTGGTTCCCACTACATTCTTGGGTTGAAATATCTTGCTCTTAATCACTCCAGTCGGTGTATTTATAATGAAATACTGATCTAATGTTTGATATACCCCCATGAAATTAAAATGAAATCACCCTCACCATCTGTACCCCAGCCCCTGCTCTCAAAAGTTTTATGAAACTTCATTGATGCTTTACTCTAAAGATGCCCTTGGGCTTCTTCCAGGAGAGCGATATAACCCCTAGAAGGTCAGGAAGAGGTCATCAAACCTGCTTCCTGTCACCTGTTCCCTGTCATGCATCCGGAATCAGAGACCAGCAGATATTTAAGTAAAGCTGCTGGAATCTCATGTGCTACCACCCTGCTCTAACCACAAGCTCCTTCTTTACTTTCAACATCATTGATCAAAATCAGATTATTTGTGGTGGGTGGATGGCATGGAGTGGTATAGGGGGAAGTAAGGAAATATCTTTTTTCCTGAAGACAAAGCCTGGCTACCTGCAATCATGCTGCTCTGGACTCCTGGAATTTAATCTCTCTGTCAATTCTAGTCGTGTCGACCAGTTAAAGTATGATGTCCAGCACCTGCAGACTGCTCTCCGAAACTTCCAGCATCAGCGATACACAAGGGAGCAGCAGGAAAGACAGCGAGAAGAGCTTCTGTCCCGCACCTTCACCACTAATGTAAGCCAGGCTCCTGGGTGGGATCTGCAGGAACTCGACAGCTTGTGGGAGCTGCAGCTCAGGGCTCTGAGCGGCAGTCTTTTAGTGGGTGTCTGAAGCAGACTGATCGGACAGAAGGAGAGCAACCGGAAGTGACGGCAGACTTTGTGCGTTGCCACAGAGACTAGACCTGAGCAGGGAATCTCTTTCTCTGTCACAAAAACCTGAGGAGGAAGCAGTTAAATTGAGGGAACGAGCAGAGGTGAAAATTACCTGGTTTGACTGGTCCGATGCAGAGAGGTGGACATTCAGATGGTGGAAATGTTTTCCTGATCAGATTGAGACAGATGATTAGAACTTAGGCTATTTGCAGTGAGGGCAGCGTTTCAAAGCTGCCTTCAGGCAGTTGCCATTGCGGGGGTGGGAGGGTTGTGGTGTGTGTGGGGTGTGTGTGTGTGTGTGTGTGTGTGTGTGTGTGTGTGGTTCCAGTGTCAGGTGCGTTAAAATGTTTTTGCCCCTAGTCTGAGCGGCAGTTTGGAGGAATTTGTTAACAGATATTTCATTTTAGTGGGATTGCTTGACTCGAGCCTGTTTGAAAGTGGCCTGTTGGTTTGCACGTTGGATTTCTTAGAACACCCTTGTCCCTGTCCTTTGGTCTCAAGAGGATCATTTCCCACACATGGCTGGAGAACATACTGGCCTTTGTCGTGTCCTGCATAATGTATTCCACCAAATTAGGTGGGTCTTGGTGTGTGTGGGGGAGAGTTGCTTGTTTGTTTTGTTTGTTTTTACAGAGAGTTTCATTTTCTAAAGAGATCTTAGCTTTCTAAGTCTATCATCAGAATTCAGATCAGCTCCCACTTTGCAGATGTTTAACTCTCTTTGCTGTGTCCACACTTGGAGTAATGTCCCCAGGTGCTTCAGAATGTGCCTATGTAGTTTGGTTTCTCTAGCGCAAGCAGTCAGGTAACCGTGATTAACACTTCAGAAGTTCAATGAACATGTGTTGGTGGTATAATGGCAAGCAGAGCTGCCTTTCAATAGAGTAGAGAACTGTACGACACACGAAAAGGTAGTGGCATTGGTTATTCCAGCCTTTTTAGGCCATGGATGATGGCTCAGAATTATTTTGTTTCTTACCAGCCTAGTGTGATGCTGTGCGCACAGTGGGCCCTTAATAAAAACTGACTGGCCGCATGAACTTCTTCCTGGTCTTTCTACGATCGGGAGGTAGAATACATTTTTCTGAGAGATAACAGCCCATCAGCTGTACCTTTTCAGATGGGAGGGTAAGGAAGATTTGTATATAAAAGGCATTCAATAAATATTTGTCAGATAAATGAAAAGAAGTCTCTAATTGATTCAAACACTGGAGTCTTGACCCACAGAGCTTATGCAGAACGCTGTTTAAGGTACCGAGAGTAAAGCGTGTGTAAATTAAAGACCATGACTCCTACCTCTGAGAAACTCCTGTGTTAGCAGGGTGGGGGGATGTATACCTGAATGAAAAATGATTGTGAACTTGAGCAGCCAAGAAAAGGTGCTTTAACCTCTTCATGATGATAGAAAGTGGCACTGCTTCGCAGAAGAGTTTGTAATGGTCAGGAGGCGGGAGAGAAGACAGTGCTGTGGCTGGTCATGCCCTGCTTCTGTGTCCTTCCCACTTGCCGTGTAAAAGTGGAGCACTGGGATTGGTCTTGCTTTTCTCCCTGCAGGATGGTTAAGAGGGCAGGCTCTGCACCCAGCACTGGGATTCGTGCCCCGCTGGACATCTTACCAGCTCTGCGTACTCTTGAACAAGTCATTCCACCTCTCTGGGTTTCCGTTTCTTCATCTAAAACAGAGATAATATCATAACTACTGCGTAAGGGTAGAGTGAGGATTAAGTGAGCTTAGGGTAAAGAGCATGCAAAGTGGAAAGCACTTGATCAGTATTAGTTTTTTCTCCCTTCGTTTCTTTATAGACTTTTCTTCCTTGCTCAGGTGGATAGACCCATCCTGTACACCGTTAGGCCTTTAATAGAATACAGTCTCTTCTCTCCTTAGTCAGTCTGTCTAATTGGAGGGATAAGCTGTAGATAAAATAGCCGGAGGACAAAAGCAAACCTTTAACACTGCACTGAGGGAAAGCCAAGTAAAGGAACATTTGGAATAAGCTAGGTTAGCAAGGAGTCAGAGAAAGCCTTTAGGAGAAGCCCAGCAAGGTCTTAGAAGAATAGAGTTTTTCCTAAGTTGGGGGAATGATATGGAGGCAGGGATGAACAAGACTTGTGTGGTGGAACCCACTTGCAGAGTGATAAGTCTGAGAATTCCTTTTCCTCTGAGTGAACAGAGGCCACCCCAGATCTTTGCTTTTTCTTCTCTGTTAAGTTCCTCTGATTCTCGCACCATTCCCTCTGGCTGTTTTTCCGGCTTGACCTTGGCCAAGAGGCAGAGCGGTCAGATGTGGTGGGACCCCCGGAGCTGACCAGCAAGCAAAGTAATCAAGTGCCTGCGTTTCTTTCACAGGACTCTGACACCACCATACCAATGGATGAATCACTGCAGTTTAACTCCTCCCTCCAGAAAATTCACCACGGCATGGATGACCTCATTGGAGGCGGGCACAGTATTCTGGAGGGACTGAGGGCCCAGAGACTGACCTTGAAGGTGGGGGCCCTTTTGGGGGACAGGAGGAAGGCCTTTTGTTTTGGCTTTATCCAAAAGTGTGGGACCTGCGTTTACCTTTTGATCGCATACCCCTAAGTTGTGATACTGTGATAGTAAGACATAACCTTTGAGTTTGGGTTCCTTTCTGTTGAATTGAATTATTATGAGTCCAAAAGGAGCCAAATTCCCTTTGCCAGTAATGAACCATAATGTGGCATCTCTTGGTATCCAGGTCTTTTTCCATTTCCTGAACTTAATGTAAAGTGACTGCTGCTATGAGAGGAAGCAATAATGGACTGGGAAATTCTGTTACAGAATCCGCTTTCGCAAGAAGGAAGACGCAGCTGTACTTGGCCTCTCGCTCTCTCTCGGGTTTTCCTGTGTGGCGCCCCCCACCCACGCCGCGCCCACCGGTGGACGGCCTTATAGCCGAGACCTCTGTACTGCAGCAACTGAAGGGGGTCTTAGGGCTGCCTTGGTTGACTAGCAGCGGGTGCCTTCTAGAGCACAGGCTGGTGATCCCCAGTGACTCTTCACTCTCTCTTTAGCAACAGGTATTCCTAGAAGCCCTGCCCCATTGGCTGAGACTCAAAACCCCTGGGAGTGGTTTACAGAAACATTACACAGCCTCTGATGTCAGTCATGATGTTTCAGCCTCAGCCCTTTTCCTGTATCAACCCTGATGGATAATGGGGTGTGGGCTGTGTCTGTTATCAGGGTGTGGTCCCCAGTGGATGAAGCCCTCCCAGCCACTGAGCTGTGAGAAGCAGTCACTCGGGAAGCATGAGCTTTATCTTAGTTTTTGTTGGACCGTGTTGAGCCTGTCAGCTCCACGGGACTTCTGTACATTTCTGAGCAGCGCCTGCCACCTTTACCCAGGAGAAGGTCAGGCGAGCTGCGAGTGACACTTATCTCTTGCTGATGGCCGCAGCGCTTCAAATGGTCTGGAAGCGTGGTTTCTGACAGCTCCATGGGTGCCCCCCTTTCAGAACAGCCACCTGCAGTAATCTAAACTGATACATGATGGTTAATCCTCCCTTTCTTTAGAAAACTGCTGGCCTCCTTCCCATATCTCAGAAAAACAGTAAAACCCTTTTAGGACGAGACTCACCATGTCACACTCAAGTTGACCCGCTGGGGGTCAGAGCTTATTGTTAAAGCACATGTCAGTTTCTTCCCGAAGTCTGGTGTCACTGAGGAGTCCAAGCAACTTCTGCCCCAACACTGCCCCCAGAGGTGAAGCGCCGGGAAGCCTGGTGGGCAGTTAGGGGCTGGAATGAGAGGTTTCTAATTCCGTTGCCTCTGCACACCTACTATACCTGTCTTTTGCCTCTTGATTCCCTCCACTTGCCTCCTGCCCCACTTCTGTCAGGGAAGTTTCTGCCCAAACCATTTGAAAGGAACATAGGAGGGAGCGTGAAGGAAACGGGCCTTGATTTGGGGAAATTTGGGGTGGAAAATGGATAACATTTTTGAAATTTATGTTAATTTTCAAGTGATTTTCGAAGCTTGGTACTTGAACTTCATAGAATGATGCAATAATCTGCTCTTTCAGAGCTAAGCGTACTCTTTAGTGACAGTCTAGTTTATACCATCATTGTTATGGGAAAAACATGTCTCTGGTCTCTGGCAGAGATAAAGTTTGACCTGAGAGATCTCTCTCCATGAGGCTTGTATATCATTGTCTGGGCAGAACGTGGGTCTTGAACTCCTGTCGGTGATGCCTTGTGTTCTCACCTCTCTTGTATCTTCTCTCAGTTGCTCGTTACTGTGTTCACTTAAAAAATGGTTGCAGGATGTTAGGTTAGGTGCCGGCATACAGATGCAGTTGGTGATGTGTGTAAGTTAAGTTGGGGTCTGCCCAGCTTTCATTTATATTTGTTACTTCATACGAAATTGAATGTGCTTAAAAATGAAAATTAGAAAGCAGAGAGGAAGGGTGGCCTGGGTGGTTTGGGCTGTTGGTTTAGGAATAAAATACCCTTTTGTTTTGGGTGGTGGGTGGTGACATTCGTATAAGGGGTTGTAGGTCCTTGGGTTGGTGTTTGCCAGTTTCGTTTCTGTGGTTCCATCTTGCCCCCTTCAAACTCTCTTATAAATGTGGACACAGACCCATACGTTGTACTCAGCAGAATCCCTGCGGTTTCTACTCTACAGAGTACACAGGCTGAGAGCAAGCGTTTTAGAGCCAGGGAGCAGAGAGAAGTTTTTTGATGTTGCCTTTTTTTCAATATAAAATATTCTAATTTAAAACTTTTTTTTATGGAGGTATAATGTGCATACGGTGAGGTATACAGATCTTATTTGTACAGATCATTGAATTTTGACAAATACATTTATCCGTCTTTGTAACTCACACTGCTGTCAAGGCAGAGACCGTTTTCACCACCCCTGAAAGATCCCTCGTGCCCTTTCCCAGTCAGTCTACACCTGCTCCCTCCACCTGCCCCAGGCAACCACTGTTCTAATTTATTTCACCATTTATTAGTTTTGACTGTTATTGAACTTAATGTAAATGTATTCACATTACGATTTTGTATGTGACTTCATCCTCTCAGGAATGTTTTCCAGGCTCATTCATATTGTTACATGGTGTAATCAGGTCCTTTTTATTGCCCAGCAGTATCCCGTTGTGCACAGAACACACATTGTTAATCCATCCTCTGGTTGATATACACCTGGATTGTTTCCAGTTTGGGGACATTCTTCTGTTTTCTTCTAGAAGCTTTATTATAGTTTTAGCGTTTTTGTTTAATTCTGCGAACGAATTAATTTTTATGTATAGTATGAATCAAAGGTCTTTTTTAACACATATATTATATACAGACATATATGTACGTGTGTGTATATGATACATACATGTGATACTCATTATACAGCCATTTGTTCCAGCACATTTGTGGAAGACTTTCCTTTCCCCCTTGCTTTGCTCTACAGCCTTGACCAAAAGTCATTTGGCCATAGGAGCGTGATCTGTTTCTGGTGGCTGCTGCTGCTTGTATGCTTTAGGCATGACCAAGAGACCGTCTGTCGGTAAAGCCCCATCTCATGATGACGTTCACCCATCCTTGGTAGAAGGAGTTGATCTTTGTTTTTCTTCCTCTTCTTGTCTGTCCCAGGGGACCCAGAAGAAGATCCTCGACATTGCCAATATGCTCGGCTTGTCCAACACAGTGATGCGGCTCATCGAGAAGCGGGCTTTCCAGGACAAGTACCTCATGATCGGTGGGATGCTGCTCACCTGTGTGGTCATGTTCCTTGTGGCGCAGTACCTGACCTGAGCCAGCCAGGCCCCGTGGCTGAACAGCGGTCCCGTGGCGTGAGAGTGTGTGTGAGTGCGAGTGTGCAAAGAGAGGGAGGCCCAGAGGCTGCCTTCTGAAATGTGTGCCCATCTTAACTGTGAAGACCACTCAGAAGTAATTGTGACCTGCAACCTGGTGGAAGTTTCAAACCTCTGTTTTTTGTGACATCTTGGAGGGGAAACTCGTGCTACCAAGATGTGGTGCTTAGGAAATGAACGAAGTGTCTGTTCTCTCTCATGCTCACTGTCACTCTCACTGGGGGAGGAAGTGATGCAAGGGTAAGGGAGGACCAGGGAGAGGGGAGGAAGAGAATGGCCTTGGTGGTTTTTGTCCTCATAGCTGATGTGCACCCGGGAAGGCTTTCATGGTGAGCTTGCAGACAGGACTGTCCACTCTTGGCCGTCCACTGGCCTTTCTGGCTCCTAGCAGATAGTCTAGAGCAGAAGCAAAGAGAGGAGGGGAAAGAGGCCTTCTGTTCCTGCACCCACTACAGTAGGTGGGTTCACATGCTCTTGCTACCAGCCACCTTCCCCCCCCCCACCCCTCCAGAAAATAAGGACATGCCAATGACTGACTGCTAATACTTGTCGTCCTTCCCCAGAAGCAGCTACCTAGAGGAAACAGAGGCATTGGCGCTGTTGCTGATAGCAAGATTTTCCACATCAGGGATGTTGGGTGTTTCTCCTTTCTAAAGTAAGGCCACTGTTAACTCCCTGGGAATGGTCAGTCTTGAAACTGAAGACCCTAGTCACCGATATTTTTCCCAGTAGTTAATGGTTGGCTTTTAAGACTGCAGCCTGGCACCCGTGCCCATGCTTTCGTGGGTGTTTGACCCTTATCAGGTAGCTGTGAGCAAAGGTTAGTGATTTGTCTTTTACAGTCTCATCTCTAGTTTTAGTGTCTCTAATTAATAATTGGCTCTCTTCCCTTCCTTGAAATATATTAGCAACTGCCAGCCAAGCCTCCATTCTGCCCAGCCAGTGTGGGCACATGCCACCCTAGAGACGTCTCTGGTGTGTATGTCCTTGTAAGACTCTGTTTTCAAGGACCAGGACCTTTTTCCTTCTCGGACCAACCCTAGATTAAGGCTGTACCGGTACCCAGCGTATTGTGGAATTTATTGTAAAGCCAGTCTGTTCAAGGAGACTAATCACTGAAAGTACCAGAAAGACCTGGTTAGCCTATTTTTTCATCTGTCACAGGCCCTACCAGCCCTAGGCTCAGTATGGCAAGACATAAATAACATTCACAGTTTCCCAGAGGAACTGTAAACCTGGTCAGTATTAACCCCACCTTTGACTGTCTTGCACTACCTACTTCCTGCCTTTGTTTCTTGTCATTTGGACTATCTTCTGTCATCTTTCTCTTTTCTGTGTGTTTTTTCTTCCACCTTCCTTCTTTACCACCGCCCCCCCAACCTGTTTCTGTAGCAGTATTGATCTTTGTAGGCACATCTGTGGCATAGATCCCTTTTGGGGGAATGTTTCTGAATTGTCACAGATTTTTTTTTTTTTTTTTTTTTTTTTTTTTTGTGTCTCG